GAGAGAGAGAGAGAGAGAGAGAGAGAGAGAGAGAGAGAGACACAGATGGAGGGGGAGCAGGTGTTTGGAGGATGCAGGGCGGCAGCTTGTTAGCACAGGAACATTGAACACCCGTGGATGGTCGTATGAGAAGGACAGTTCGCTCACAACTGCCACGCACAAACGACAAGGGCTCACACAACACAGCACAACACAAGCCAGATCCTATTCAGCACAACAACAACAACACACATCAGACACTGTACAACAACAACAACAACAACAACAACAACAACAACAACAACAACAACAACAACAACAACAACAACAACAACAACAACAACAACAACAACAACAACAACAACAACAACAACAACAACAACAACAACAACAAGACAGCAAAGTACCTCGTCGGCAAACTCTGCGTATCTGTGCGAGAGCTTGTTGAGGTCGACAGGCTGCTCAATCACATCGAGATCGCGGACGAGAGGCAGCGGCGGATCCGGGGACTGATGAGGTGTTGTGAGAGGGTGTGTGTGTGTGTGTGTGTGTGCGTGAGTAAGAACGTTTGTGGCTATCCAGTCTGAATCAGTTGCGATGGTTGTCGACCAGACGATTTGCATGAACAATATCAGCATCGTAGAGTGTCAGTTCGACTCACCGTATCGTACCAAGCAGATTTTCCCTGTATGCCACAATGCACACATGAGCACGAAACCATGAGGGGTGTTACGGCACTTGGCACAATGCAAGCCACACACGCACACACGCACACACACATACACACACATACACACACGCACACACACACACATACAAACACACACACACACAACACAACAACACATCACAACACATCACAACACACACGCACCATGTCGACGGAGAAGGGAACGCCAATGTAAGAGTCAAAGCCACGGTTTGTAGGCATAAACTTGGGCTGCTGACCCTGTGGCGGGCGGCAGCAGTGGCGGTGGCAATGTGTGCGAATCAGTGGTCCAGGAAACAATGCAGGCAAGCACGTCAACGTGGAAACGTACACGTGAACAATATCGTCACGTTCATCGGTCATACCAGGTGCCATTTGCCGATGGCTGCCGTTGCGTAGCCTTTGGTCTTCAGCACTGACACCGTGACCACGACAGATGAGGATCGAACACGAATCCGCAGCAAACAAAGGGTCAACAGTAAAGTATAATGACGCAACACATGTGGGCACGCACAGACACAGAGACACAGACACACACACACACACACACCACACACATACATCCACACACACAGACACAGACACAGACACAGACACAGACACAGACACACACACACACACACACACACACAAAAGCGTCCATACACAAACACAAATGGATACACTCGCATACACACAAGAGCTCATGTGCGGGCACGCGAGGGCGTACTCACCGTCAGCCATTGTTGTTTCGTTGAGGGGAAGGCCGCCGACAGAGGAGGGATCGAAGACACCGCCTTCGTGTGGTGGAAACGCATGTGCAGACGTAATGCATGGATATGGCGCGATGGTGATGAGCCAGGGTGAAGTGGGATATGGCACACAACAACAGGTATCAGAACCAAATCTTGGCAACGAGACGTTGAAAGCACACACACACACACACACACACACACACACACACACACACACAAAAGCCACGCACACACACACACACACACACACACACACACACACACACACACACACACACACACACACACACATACCGGTCCACGTTGCACCGGCGCAGCCGACGCGAATGGGAATGCGACCAGTCATCATGCTGTGGATGTGCATGGGGCATTGTGAGCCATGTGAATGAGAGAAGTCGGTGCAGGTTCCACATAATAACAGTCACAAACATTGGTGATGTTGGGGAGGACAAATACTGTGCTTCAGACAGCCATTCATGCTCACACGCACACACACATACACGCAGAATGCACCTTGCACGGCTTGGCGAGCAGACGTGGAAGGCGGAGTACCACTGGGTGAAGCGCAAGCCCTCATGCATCAGCTGGTCAATGTTGGGGCTGCGGATTGTGGGGTGCCCCATGGACGACAGATCGCCTGCACAGTGACACGGCCATGAAAGCACATGACAGTGTAGTTGGTGCGATGCATTGCAGGAAGCACAACACATGTGAGCGTTGTGAATGAAGCTTCACGTTTCACAAGAGAGACAGCATGACGTACTTGGACACATTGTGATCAGTCGTACACGCTCACACACACACACACACGCATGTACGTGCGAAAATCAAACACACAGCTTCATGTGCACACACGCGCTGCTTCTTACCAAAGCCAAGGTCGTCCGCGAACAGCACCAGAATCTGAGCAGCGAGTGTGGAGCGGGACGTGAGGGTGAGCGGGTATCGGGCGTGAGCAACACCCCAAGCATTGGCAGCACCAACAAGTAGCAACACACACACAGACACACAGACACGAAGAGATAGACGGACAGACACACAGACAGACAGACGGACACACGCAGACACACGCAGACACACGCACAGACAGACAGACAGACAGACACACAAACACAAACAAACACACACACACACACACAGACACACACACACACACACACACACACACACACAATGTTGGGCTTACGTTTGGTGTGGAGGCTGCCAGTGCAGGGGTGGCAGGCACAGCCAGTGCTGCCATCACCACCACCACAGCCACTGCGATCAGCAGCCGACCACCGCCAGCAGCAGCAAACCCAAACAGACCCGTCCTCATCATCATCTCCGTTGAATTTCCAGTGGAGCAATTTGCCAATTGGCGTGCGAGTGCAATTTGCAACGAGAAGCAACTGACAGCAGAGATACACACGACAATGCAGCGAAGCAGCAGCAGTGGTGCGTCCTCGCTGCCACTGGAAGGCGTGGTGGCAGTGGCACAGCTGCCACAGGCGCAGCGCAATGCCCTCGTGGCCATCTCATCCCACGGAAAGGTGTGCGCGGCTGTACGTACTTCTTGTTGTTTCGATCCCCTTTGGAACCACCAGTGCTGGCAAGATTTGGGATGGATGAAGGCGCCCAGCACGCATGTTCTCACACATACACTCACACTCTGTGTCTGTCTGTCTGTCTGTCTGTGTGTCTGTGTGTCTGTGTGTCTGTCGGTCTGTCTGCCTGTCTGTCGCTCTCTGTCTGTCTCCCCCTCACTCACTCATTCTCACTCTCACTCTCACTCACTCTCACTCTCACTCTCACTCTCTCTCACTCACTCATTCACTCACTCACTCACTCACACACACACACACACACACACACATGCACTCTCTCTCTTATGACCACACTACATTCATTGTGCGGGTGCAGGGCACGGAGGCTCTTTCGTTGCTGGATATAGAGACGCAATCTGAGCGTGGCGTGCCCTTCTCGTCCAAGCTTGCCTCACCAACACTGAGCCTTTCATGCCAGCAATCCATTCCCCTGGCGCCACTGCACGTCACAGTAAGCGCTGTGCGCGTGCCGGTGTTTCTGCACGCATGCGTTTGTGTACAAATGAAGAGAGACTGTGTGCAGTGTGTGAGGATCAGTCTCCCGCTCAGACCACACATACCCACTCTTTGCACAAACACACACACGCACACACACACACACACTCACACACTCTCTCGCACACGCACACACACACGCATCCTACCCATGTTGACACGTGTCACTCACATCGTGATGGTCATTCGCGCGCATTGTGCCAGGGCTTGAACTCAGAGGCAGTTGTGGTTGGTGCGCAAAGCGGAGCCGTCTCCGTCTATTCACTCAACTTTCACAAGGTTGCATGGTGTACGTGTATGCATGTGCGTGTTTGTGCCCCTGCACGTGAATGCAACAGAAGTATCTGGCAAGCTCACCCTTGTGTTGTGCTTGTGCGATGCCTGCCGGCAGGATGACGTGTTTGAGGAAGCAGCGACCATGACACCTCCGCCAGCGCACGCGACAGATCGCGCTGAGGAGCGGCAGCCGGTCTCTGGTCTCTCCGTCCTGTCCGGCGGTGATGGCCGCTTCTGCTCGACAACAGAGGATGGGCTGCTTCATGTCTGGGACGCAGCCGCACCCGCACGCGTGGGCAGCTGGGGTACGTGTCAAGTCCGAGCAGCGCGTTGTGGCATTTGCGAGACAGCGAGGGAGAGAGAATGTGTTCGTTCGTTCGCCCGCACGCGTGTGTGTATGTGGGTACATTTGTGTATGCACAAGGCACCACCATGTCACACATGCGCACTCATTGACACACACACACACACACACACACACACACACACACACACTCACACACACACACTCACACACACACTCACACACACTCACTCACACTCACTCACGTACCACCCTTGCTGTGTACCGACACAGGGCGACCCAAGGCACTGCGCTGCTCAATGCTCAGCTGCGTTGCGCAGACACACAAGGACGTGGTCGTTGGCACGAATGTCGGTGCTGTTGAGATTTGGGACACACACGCGCCAACTGCTGACTCCAAAAGCGGCAGCAGCGCAGCCCTCACATTCACCAGCGAGCCAAGGTACAATGCCGCCTTGGTCACCCTGGGTGCATGCCTGCGTGCGTGTGAGTGTGTGTTTGTGTGTGTGTGTGTGTGTGTGTGTGTGTGTTTGTTTGTGTGCGAGTGTGTACATACTTGTGTGTGTGTAAAGGTGCTCAAGCCTTGTGTTGCCTCGCTGCTCCTGCTCACCATGTCCGCGTGCGTGTGTCTCCATTTGTGGCCCCTCCCCCCCCCCCAAACAGCGAGGACGGAAGCCTACAGATGTTCCACAGCATTGCCGTTCATCCGAGCGAGCGCAACATTATTGTTGCCGGCGGCCACGACGGTCTGCTCGTGTTCTGGGATGCACGCCAACCGCTCGTCCCGCTCGCCACTATCCAAGCACACACCGGGCCAGGTACCCTCCTGCTGCCGTCCTGCTGTAGTCGTGTGCACGCCCGAACTGACTGTTGTTGTTGAGCGGTGTTTGTTGTGATTGTCATGTGTTATTTCTTTATCGACACAATGGTGACAAAAGGGAGCCGGCGTCAAGTAAGAAGAGATCTCATGCCAAGTTACTCACCACCCTCAAACCACCACCACCCTCACCGTCAAGTGTGGGACATTTCGTTTGCGCCTCGGAATCCGCATGTGCTGGTGACGGCGGGTGAGGACGGGAGCGTGCTGCACTGGAACACCAACCCGCGCCAGGCAGCAGCCCGCACGTCGTTCAACATCTCCACAGACAGCGGCGAGCTCGTGGTGACAGACATGGCGGCACACGCTGTTGGCTCTGTCTCCCGCGCCGTTGTAGTGGATCGCACTGTCGTCTACTCGCGATACCACCACCAGCTGACCGCACTCAACCTCCCCTGACACCCCGCTGTGTGTGTGTGTGTGTGTGTGTATGTGTGTGTGTGTGTGTGTGTGTGTGTGTGTGTGTGTGTGTGTGTGTGTGTGTGTGTGCGTGTGTGGCTAACCCGGCAGTCCCTTCGTTCGTTCGCTTTGCGTGGCCAGAAAACCTCCAACTGAACCCGTTTGTTCATCATTGTGTTCGTTCATTGTTAAGATGCAACCCCTTCTCTCTCTCGCTCTCCGATACCAAAATCGCCTGAGTTCAGCACTAAATGTACAGCAAACGCCACAACAGCCCGCCGCACGGAAACATCGTCCTTACAACGATTCCAGCTTGGAGTCGAACCTGTGCAGCACAAACAGCGGTGCATTCATGTGAGCAGCAGGGAACGAACAAGGGAAGGACACACACACACACACACACACACACACACACACACAGCCACACAGCCACACACAGCCACACACACACACACACGCACACACAACCACACAATCAAGAGGCAGACGTACGCATGGGCAAAGTTCTTGTGTGCGCGGTTCTCGTATGATTTGCGCTTCCGTCGGATGGTGCTGTCAACGCACGCAACATGAAACACGCAAAAGGCAGTGGGCACGAGTGAGCAGGGAGGTGCAGGCAGACATTACAGGTGATGGGTTTCGCGAGAGCAGAAGCGATAGACAATCCAGTGTTGCGTGTGTGCGTGTGATGGAAATGATGACCGCAGCACTGACCGCTTGCTCTTCTCGCGGTACTCGATGATGTTGCGGCGAACCATGCTGAAGATGCGCTCCCGAAACACGTTGCCCTCGGGCTGAGCGGCCGCGACAACAGCATGCACGCGTTAGTGGCCATGCACAGCTTGGATGAGCAATACGCGGGATACGCCCGCTGTGGCAGAAATAGCACACACACACACACACGCACACATGCGCGCGTACGCACAGCACCAGCAGTAACACCAGCAGTGACAACGACAGCAGCAAGCGCACCTTCATTTGGCGAAGAGATGGTGTGAGCTCGTCGGTCAGCTTGACGGGCAGTGGGGGCTGCCTGTATGCGGCAAGCACGACGGGCGGAGACAAGCGAGTTGTGGCGATGGTGGTCAGGCGATGAGCACCACGCAAGCAAATCACGCTGGGAAAAGTGAAAGCAACCAGTGCCGTACAATCACAAACTGCAACACAATCTCCAAACGCACACAGACACAGACACACACACACATATTCGCACACACACAACACAAACACAACGCGCACGCGAGACTGACTTGATCTGGAACTTGCTGAGACGGCGTGGGCGGGCGAGGCGGTCGAGTGCGCTGCGTTGCCGGTGCTCGCGTCGGCGCCGATACCGCTCATCCTGCTCGTCCAGCGCTTTGCTGATGGGCTTCAACTGCGAATACTGGCGCATGCGCAGGCGATGGCGCTTGCGGGCCTGCTGTCGTCGCATGCGCCGCTCATGTCGCAGCTGCCGGTTGCGCTGCGCCTTTGTCCTGGCGGCGTCGGCGGCGGCGGTGATGGCGGTGGTGATGGTGGTGGTGGGTGATGAGCAATATGATGGAGCAATTGAGGGCGGAAACATGGAAGAAGCACGGCAAGTTGTTGCTTGCATGCACTCATGCAATAAACAAAAACAAAGTGAACAAACAAAGTGAACAGCGTCCACAAGCAAACAAACAGGTTGGGCAAACACACGAGCAGTACATGGTGGTACGCACTTCCGCTCTGTGACTTTCTTGGTTCGCTCCATGCCTGGTTCCGGCACCTCCAGGCCACTATCACCGTCACCCTCCTCACCCTCGTCACTGTCGTCATCGCGGTCTTCACCGGCGGCCTCACGTCGCTGCCGCTCAAGATCGCGTGCCACCTGCACCATCTGATCGCGCTGCGCTGCTGCTGGATTCACGTTTGCAGCCCGCGGCGCTCGCCGCTGTAACCTCGCTTGCCGCTGGCGATGTGATGTGACGTGTTGTGTTGTGTTGTGTTGTGTTGTGCGGATGTGAGACGATGGCGTGAGGGCCAAGGACAATAGCGACCAAAAGCTTTGCACACGCACACATTAACGCAGCACACACACACACACACCCTTGCATACAGCGTGACGTACGCGGTCTGCGAGGATCTCTGTCGCTGCCGCAGCAGCAATCAGTTTCCTGTGCGCATCGTACTCCGGGTTGTACGACTGGCCCTGCAGGGGCCGCTCCACAGCTTGCTGGTTCAGCACAGTTTCTGCAGCACATACAACGTCCAGATATCAGTTGTGGAGCAGGCATACAACAACGCGCGAAACCACACACACACACACACACTCGCTCACTCACACACACTCACACTCACACACACACACTCACCCACACTCACACACACGCACAAGCACAGCCACCAGAGTGACTCCCCGACTCACCCACCCACACCCACACCCCCACACACACCCACACACACCTGGTCCCTTGCGCTGTGATTTGGACTGTTTGAGCTTGGGTGTGTGTTCTTCGCTTGCCCAGATGTCAAAGACGGGTTCGTCTGCAGTGCTACCCTCCTGCACCTGCGTTGCTTCCTCCTGTTTCTTCTTGTTCTTGTTCTTGTTCTTCTGCTTCGCGTCTGCTGCTGGCGCTGCGCTTCCTGTGATGCCCGTTGAGCCTGAGGCACTGCTGCCTGGTTTGCGTGCGGCCTTGCTGCGGGTGGGCTTCACGGTGCGCACGGCTTTGATGAACTTGTTTGAGGAGGGGTGGTACCTGGTGCGCAGCTCCTCCGCCTTCTGGCGGGCCTTGAACTTGCGGCCCACTTGTGGCGTGTCGCCCATGGGGGTCACCATCTCCGCAAAAAGCGCTTCATCCGGCGCCTCATGCACAAGTCCACTGATCCACCAATAACAACATGTGAGGATGCATTTGTGTGCGCATTTGTGTGTGTGTGTGTGCATGTATGCACGATTGCGCGCATCGCTGCTCAATGTGTTGCTGGTAAAACACAGGCACACGCAGGCATGGACACACGACAGATGCAAAGCAGTTGGTGCGCACAGGGGCATCAAACTTACCCTGTACGCATTTCATGCGACACTTCATCGCGGTGTGTTCTGTCAGAAGCGATCGCGCAAGGAGAAGTGGAGGTGAATCAACCAAGCACATCCAGCACATGCACGCACACACAAAGCCAGCAAGCAAGCAAACAAGCGAGCTCCCAAGCAAACTGTCAAGCTCACGAGCGAACAGCCATACCCAAACCGCACACGTACGCACGCACGCACACACACACACACGCATCTACACACACGCACACACACACACACATACACGCACACACACTCATCTACACACACGCACACACGCACACACGTACACACACAAGACAACCATGCACTCACTCGACGGCGGAGAGGAGGATTTCGGTGTGTTTGCGGATGTTCTTCTTCTTTGATCTGGAGCCATACTTCTTCTTGGTTTGCTTTTCCAGAGCCACCAGCGGCTCCGCGGGCTTCTTGCCCTTTGCCTTCATCGCCTTCTTCTTGCCCTTCTTCCCTTCCTGCTGCTGCTGCTGCTGCTTCTTGCTCTTCACCGCCATGATGGCTGCTGGGTCTGGATCGACGCACGCTGCAAACCACGCTGCTTTGTCTCGTCTTGTTTCCCTTACACGTGCAGTGCGGACGATTCACGAATGTCTTCCACGATACAGCGTAACCCGACACCCACCAGCAACCAACTAATTGAAAAAAAAAAAGTGTGTGCTGCTCACTTTGCATTGTGGTTGGTTGGTTTGGTCTGTGTTTTGTTTTCCCCCTTGCCCCACACCACCACCACAGAGCAGCCACACCAACAACAAAACCTAAACCCACCCCAAACACACAACCCACCTGACGGGCGTCCTTGTTCGATCAAACCTCCCCCTCCCTCACTGCCTGCCTGGCTGGCTTGCCTGGCTCGCTCTCTTCACACGGGTGCATTCCACCTCGTTGTCAGCCAGCACACGAGCACAGATACATACACACATACATACACACGAATACAGCCGCCTCGCGCACAGCGCCTGCGTCGGTTGCAATTTTCATCCATCCAGTGAGACCGCAAGCAAGTCCACTCGCTCCCGTTTGTCGAGACGCGGGCAAACAATCACAGCAGTGGCAGCAACTGTAGCAACTGTAGCTTTTGTTCCCTGTCCCCGCGACACAACCAACCATGCCAGTCCATGCATGGGGGACTGGCGAGAATGACGCGCAACCTCCAGAGTTCAACGTCATCCACGTCACCGTGCACCGCTCGCGTGAATATGCCTTTGGCTTCACCCTCGGCTCCACTGGTGCGTTTTGCGGTGCGAGTGCTTCGGGAAGGGGAGGGGGGTGAAAGCGGCTGTTGATGTGCTCTTCGTGTGTTGCATTGCTCCCATGCACACACGCTCACACACACCTTCACGCACAAACAAACACATACACATACATACACATACACACACATATACACATACACACATTCACACGCACTCACACACGCGCACACACTCACATACACACACACACACACACACACAAACACACACACACTCACTCACACATACACACGCCGACGCATGCCAACAGCGGAGAAGCTGCATGTGGTGTCGTCTGTGACGGCAGCAGGCCCTGCGTTTGGTCTGCTCCAGGAGGGCGACATTGTCGAGGCCATCAACGGCATCACCACCGCCAACCTCTCCCACCGCGCAGTGCCACGCATGATTGGCAGCAAGAAGGTGCTCAACCTTCGCCTGCGGCGGCCCCTTGACTCTGGCCAAACGTCGTCCCCCGCGTCCTCTGCCTCCTCCTCGGCCGCCACCGTATCGGATACGTCGCGCCCGCGCTCCTCGCGCCTCAACTTCATTGCGCAGTCCGGGCCCATCGGCACGCCAGCGCGCAGCATCGTGGACGAGCTGAAGCTGCGCTACACGCCGCAGCAGTACAACTCGCCCGCCTCCGACGCAGCGGGCCCGCCGGAGTTTGCAGAGACGCCGCTGCCAGGCACTGCGCCGCAGCCAACGGGTGATGACAACACGGCAGCTGGCGCCAGTGGCGACGAGATTGTCCCCGTACAGCGGCGGCTTGATGGCAACGCAGCAGCACCAGCACCAGCCATGCAGACACCGCGCAGTGCCGTGCGCTCAGACCGCCTCCCGCCACTCAACTTCTCGGTGAGTACGCGGATACACTTGTGCCTCTGTACTCGTCCTTGCGTGCCTGTGTGCTTGTTTGTAGTATGTGTGTTGGTTGTGTGATATGTGTGTGTGTGTGTGAGTGTGTGTGTGTGAGTGTGTGAGTGTGTGTGTAACAGGTGTGGTGAAGAGTGCACGTGCTCCTGCCAACGTGCACACGTGTGCAACATCGTTGCGCATAGTTTTGTTTTGTATTTTAAGCATTGCTTTGCAACGCATCCCCGTGGCAATGTCGCTTATCGCTGCCACACACACACATTCTCACACACATATTCTCACTCACACACTCACACACACACACACACTCACTCACTCACTCACTCACTCACTCACTCACTCACTCACTCACTCACTAACACACACACATTCTCACTCACTCACTCACTCACTCACTCACTCACTCACTCACTCACTCACTCACTCACTCACTCACTCACTCACTAACACACACACACACATTCTCACTCACTTCCCCCCTACCTTCTCCCCTTCCGTTCCTGGCCCACCACAGCAAGAGGAGAGCAGCCTGCTGAACACGTCTGCGGACGCCAGCCATGCCCAGCGCAGCCGCATGGACCTGAGCCCCATCACCCCGGCCAGCACCGTCAGCGCCATGCGCTCCCAGCCAACAGCAGCCCGCCGCCGCTCCAGCCAGCTCGCAACATCAACCCCGCAGACTGCTGCCGCACCTGCCACCACCACCACCGTCAGCGATGCACCCGTGACGTCTGCCGCGTCTGCGCCAACCTCAACCATGCCCACCTCAGGCCCCATCGAGAGCGTGTTCATCCAGCGAGTGGCCGGCCAGCGTCTGGGCCTGCGCGTCGTAGGCGGCCTCGACACCCAGCTCATGGCCGTTTTTGTTGATGGCATCACCGAAAATTCGGCGGCAGCGGCGTCCAACATCCAATATGGCGACCGGCTGCTGGCCGCAGACGGCGTGTCGCTGCTCAACCAGTCGCGGGACCGCGTGGTGGACATCCTGCGGGGAGCAGGGTCGACCCTCACGCTGGTGGTGCAGCACATTGGCGCCGACCAGTGGCACGACATCAAGGCTGAGGCCGCATACCGCGTGGAGATGCGCCACCCGCACGCCTTTGCCGTCCGCGAGCTTGTCCTGCCGCTGCTCAGCAGCGAGCCAACAGCAACGTGCACGCGCGGCGAAGTAAAGACCGTCACCCTCTCCACCGACGACGACTGGGTGCAGGTCTCTGGCGGGTGCGGCAGCGTCCTCGGCGGCTTCTTCGTCACGCGTGTTGGCGACGGTGCTGGGGCGCCCATCGCCGTCGGGCACCGCGTCATCGACGTCAACCAGCGGTCGTTCGTCCTGTCCAAGATGTGGGACCTGCAGCAGCTGGCGGAGAACCTCGCCACCCCCGTCCACCTCACCGTCCAAGTCGTCGATACCCAGCAGTGGGCCCGCATCTGCGATGCAGCCGAGTTTGACCTCGTTGCAGACACGCGCAACAGCGCATTTGTCGGCGGCGCTGCCAAGCTGCGGCCACAGCACGACCAGCAGCAGCGGCAGCAGAGGATGAGTGTTGCCTCCACAGCGAGCTCCACCCCGTCCGGCCACCCGCTCACGTCCATGTTGTTCCCAGCACCGCCGCCGCCATCGTCGTCGTCACGAACCAGCCCGCGCCGCGCGTCACGCGAGACAGCCGTGGTGAGCATGAACGGTGGTGTGCGCACTGTTCAACTCACACGTACGGAGGACGGCACGTTCGGCTTCACCCTCATTGGGCCAAGCGACCCGGCCCAGCGCAACAGCCACGTGGAGGGCGTGTATGTGAAGGAGCTGACGTGCGCAGAGCCGATTGAGGCCGGCCTGTTCATTGGCGACCGCATCCTGGCCATCAACGAGCACGACGTGACGTCCGAGCTGGCAAACGCCGTCATTGACCGCATTGCGTCGCTCGACCGCATGACGCTCGCCGTGGAGAACAGCCCACGGGCGCTGGCGCTGCTTGAGGTTGAGCGGCGGAAGGCCGGCGAGCCGCGACTCGTCACCGTCACCAACATCAGGCGGTACGGGCTCGGCATCGACCTGCTCGCCTCGCTCGACGCAACGGCATCCGACCTCGACAACAGCAGCAGCGGCACGGTTGGCCCCGCGTACGTGGCTGCAGTTGACCCGAGCGGCGCCATTGGGCGGGACGGGCGCATCAAGGCCGCAGACCAAATACTCATGATCGACGGCCAGCGCGTGCAATCGCCGCAGCACGCGGACAGGCTGCTGTCCACCAACCGGGACACCATGTCCCTCGTGGTGCGCATCTCGGATGCCGGGTACGACGCTGTTCGCCAGGCCCTGCTGCACACCACCCTCGATACGGAGCTCGCTGGGCCAATTCGCACCTTCCAGCTGCCGGACACAGACAAGCTTGGTCTCATACTTGCTGGTGGCAGCGACACGGCGTTCTGTGGCGTGTTTGTGCAAGGGGTGAAGCCCAACTCCCCCGCTGCAGAGCTTGGCATTGTGGCCGGTGACCTGGTGCTGTCGCTTGACGATGCGGGCATGCTGCGGCGCTCGCGTGCAGACATGGTCGAGACCTTTCACCGCAACGCCCGCGGCGCACAGCTGCGTGTGATGCGGCTTGGCGCTGGGCTGTGGAACAAGTACCAGGCGGTGTGCTCCCGCACGGGGATGGCACGCCCCAATCTGCCGCCAACCACCCTGCCGCTGACCAAGGGCACCCGCACGTCTCTCAGCAGCACGGGGCCCATTCTCGCCGTGGACGTGTACCGGGAGCCGAACCAGCCGTTTGGGCTGAAGCTGATTGGCGGCGTGCAGCAAGGCATGGACACATTCTTCGTGACGGGGGTGGAGCAGGAAGGGCCATGCTTTGGCTTCATCCAGCCAGGCGATCGCATCCTTGAGGTAAGCAGGCAGCCAGCTGACACCAGATGCTGCTGTTCTTTGCCTATGTTTGTTTGTTGTGTTTTGTGGATAGTCGGGGAGGATGTCGAGGAGGAGGAGGAGGAGTTGTTGCGCAGTACATGACTGCCCACAATCACGCACACACACATACACACACACACATACACGCGCGCACACACACACGTACACAACACAAACACACACACGTACATGACCCAACACAAATGCACATACACACACAAACACGAACACACACTCGTACACGATCCATCACAAACGCACATACACACAAACACACTGACGTGTCCATGCAAACCCTCTGCCTTATCCTACCTTGCGCAGGTGAACAACCACGCGCTCGTGGGCGCGTCCATGCAGGATCTTCTGCGGCTGATTGGCGCGACCGCAACCGCGCTGGAGGTGGTCGTGCAGCGCACAGGTCGCGAACAGTGGGAGGACATCAAGACCACCATGGACAACATCGACATCCAGCTGCAGGAACAGCAACAGCAGCAGCAGCAAGAACAACAGCAACAGCAAGCAAGTGCCACATCGCCGCCAGCAGCAAAGGTGCTGAAGCGAACGCTGTCGCGGGAAAAAGGGCGGCTTGGTCTCGGCATTGCTACGGTGCCGGGCGCAGGCACAAGGATTGGCGCCGTGGACTCCGACACAGCGCGCCGGCTTGGGCTGAAGGAAGGGCAGGAGATTGTGGCGATCAACGGCAGAGACATCAGCGGCCTGGCGCATGAGGATGTGCTGCGGCTGCTGCACGAAGCCAACGAGTCTGTGCAGATTGAGGTGCGGGAGGCGGAACCACAGCACGTGCAGGTGCAGCGCTTTGACGGCCGGTTTGGATTCACAGTCATGACCACCAAGCAGAATGAGGACGGCAGCGGGTGCAACGGCCTGTACGTGCACACGGTCACCAACCCGACCACAGCACTCAAGCCAGGCATGCGCATCATTGGCATGTGCGGCGAAGACATGCATGACGCAGACTCTGCACGATTCCAGCGCCTCCTCATGGCTGTGACCGGCGATGAGATTGTGCTTGACGTGCTGCCGCCGCTGCCGTCTGCACCATCATCGCGCCCGCAGTCCGCGGCACACGACGCCTCCAGGGCCCGGCTGCAGTCGCACGCCGGCGCCAACTGGAAGGACATGGAGGTGCTCACGTTCACCCTCGAGCGCAGCAGCGGGCGCCTTGGGCTCGCGGTTGCAGCACACTTGACAGAGGGCCGCTTTGGCGTGTTCGTTGCTAGCGTCAGCAACGCAAACGCGCGGGAGCGGGGCGTGCGGCGTGGCATGCGGCTGCTGGCGGTGAACGGCACAGATGTGCAGCGCGCAACCCGCGACCAAGCTGTCACCGCCCTCAAGAAGGCTACGGAACCCATCATCATCAAGTGCGCAATGCTGCCGCACACCCGCAACGTGGTGGTGCACACGAAGGACATCACCGCACGATCGTCGCCCTTCCGGCTGCAGAGCACGCCGGGCGTCATGACCCCTGTGTTCCTTGTGCTGAAGGAGGACCAGACCAACGCCACGGCACAGCTGGACGGCGTGCACGGCGGCGCCATCACCGCTGGCGACCGCATCCTCTTCATTGGCGACGAGTCGGCCATCCTCGCATCACAGGGTACGCGAACGTGTGTGTGTATGTGTTTGTGTGTGTGCGCGCGTGTGTGTGTGCGTGTGTTGTGCTTGTGGTTGCGTGTCGTTGGTTCACCAATTGCTCGTTCTGTTTCACCGCTCGCCAACAGCGTCGCTTGTTAGTCCTCCAAACCACTGTTGCACCAGCGTCTCAAACACCAAACTGTACTTGTTATGCACTTTCTGCCTCCTCACGTCCTGCTCATTCACAACCCCGCCCCCTCCAACGCATTATATCCACACGACAGAGCAAGTGAACGGCATGCTGGCCGAGGCTGGCAAGGCGGTGACGCTGATGGTGGCTCGCGATAAGGACATGTGGCGGCTGTTCGAGCCAAGTGCAGCCGCTGCTCCTGCTCGCACGCTCTCCACACCTTCGCAATCACCATCACCATCGCCACGCCGCGGCACCTCCCTCCGAAAGCGCATCTTCAGCCTCTCGCGCAAGAAGACCAACCGGTCGGGGACGGTGACTGTGCGGGCAAAGCGCATTCGCCTGAGGCGTATCGATGGCAAGTTTGGCGTGACGGTTGCGGGTGATACCAGCCGCCGCGGTCGCGGGGTGTTCGTTGCCGGCGTGAAGAATCTCGATGCAGAGAAGCAAGGACTGGCACGCGGCATGCGCATCATGGAAGCTGACGGCGTCGACACGACCCAGTCCACACAGACACAGGTGCTTGACATCTTCAGCAACGCCGAGGACACGATTGTGCTGCAGGTCATCAGGGACGTGCACGGGTTTGCTGAGTTTGAGGCCGGGCTGTCACGACACGCGTCTACGCGCCCAACACCAGCGACCACTCCTGTCCGCTCTCCTGCGCCCGGGTCATCCCGTCTCCCCTCGCAGACAGATTCTGTGTTTGAGAGCGAGGGTGCCGCTGCCAGCACCAGCACTGCCACCAGCACACACAAGCGCATTATTGTTCGCCGGCAAGAAGGGCGACTTGGGCTTGGGATTGTTGGCGAGTCAACGGCACGTGGGTTTGGCGTGTACATCAGCAACGTCGCCAACACAGACGCAGCGGCGCAGGGCCTGGTGGCAGGGATGCGCATCATGACGGTTGATGGAGAGGATGTGCGGGAACTGTCGCAGGGAGACGTGCTACAGAAACTGGGGAGCAAGCGTGGGGACGAGGTTGTGCTTGGGGTGATTGGTGATGATGGCGGGTACTCGCGGTTTGTTGAGGTTGCATCGACCCAGACATCGGGAACACCGTCTGTGTCCGAGTCACAAGGAAGAGCGGCAGCGGGGCTGGCGTCTGTGACGGAGGAGGCAGAGGAGAGTGATGACGACGACGACGATGACGATGATGGTGATGTGGCCCGTGCCGAGCAGAAGGCGGTGCAAGAGAAGGCGCAAATGCAGCATGAGGAATCTCGCACCGTTGAGAACCAGCAGCAACCTGAGCAACAGGCAGCAGCAGCAGCTAATGTGGAAGAAGAGAACGCCAACGAGGCCGAGGAACAGCGCCACGCTCAAGAGCACGAGCGACAACAACCATCGCAACAACATCCACAGCAAGAGGACCAGCAAGAGGAAATGGAACGTGAGCAGGATGAGGTGGAGGTGGAGGTGGAACCGTTGCCAGTTGCTGAAGCCGCTGTCCGCCAAGCCGTGCCCATCGCAGCAATTGCAGAGGAAGATGAGCACGAGCACGAAGATCACCATGACGAGGTGCAAGCCAGCGATGAAGCAGACGAGGATGGGTCATCCGACAGTGACTCGGGTGACGACGAAGATGCACAGCGCATTGTTGTTCGCCGGCAAGACGGGCGGCTCGGGCTTGGTTTGGTTGGCGAGTCGATGGCACGCGGATATGGCGTGTACATCAGCAACGTCGCTAACACAGATGCAGCAGCACAGGGGCTGGAGGTTGGAATGCGCGTGCTGAGCGTGGATGGCCACGACACGCGGGACGCGACACAGAGCGAGGTGCTGTCGCTCGTGACGAGCAACGATCACGATGAAGTCATCTTCACCGTCATCCCAGACGACGGCGGGTTTGCCAAGTTTGCGCACGCATCGTCACTGCCCGGATCAGCTGCTGCAACGCCGCGCCGGCAGTCGAAAGAGGAGACAGCAGCTGCTGACGTGTCTCATGAGCACCCCGACCTGGTGAAGCAGCCCGCGATGGACATGAGCCTGTACTCGCGGCGACAGAGTAGCGTAAACGTGCAGCCCATCACCGTTCGCCGGCAAGAGGGGCGACTTGGGCTGGGGATTGTTGGCGAGTCAACAGCGCGTGGGTTTGGCGTGTACATCAGCAACGTCGCCAACACAGACGCAGCGGCGCAGGGCCTGGTGGCAGGGATGCGCATCATGACGGTCGACGGAGAGGATGTGCGGGAACTGTCACAGGGGGACGTGCTGCAGAAGCTGGGAAGCAAGCGTGGGGACGAGGTTGTGCTTGGGGTGATTGGTGATGATGGCGGGTACTCGCGGTTTGTTGAGGTTGCATCGGCCCAGACATCGGGAACACCGTCTGTGTCCGAGTCACAAGGAAGAGCGGCAGCGGGGCTGGCGTCTGTGACGGAGGAGGCAGAGGAGAGTGATGACGACGACGACGATGACGATGATGGTGATGTGGCCCGTGCTGAGCGAGAGCAGCACCAGGAGGAACAGGAACAGGAACAGGAGGAAGACTGGGGAGAGGAGAATGAGGGGGAACCGGACAGGGGACAGCAAGATCGTCACGAAGACCAAGACCGCGACCAGCACCAAAAGCAAGAGAAGCATCAGGGGCAAGAGGAAGTAGAACAGGAACACCGGCAGGAGGAGGAGGTTGCAGTAGTTGCTGAAGCCGCTGTCCGACAATCCGAGCCCATCGCAGCAATCGCAGAGGAAGCGGAAGAGCAGCAAGAGCAGCAAGGGCAGCAACGCCACGATGAAAGTTCTGACGATGCAACAGAAAGACGAGAGGTCGGTGAGCATGACACTGGCAACGGTTCGAGTGCTGATGTTGCTGATGCTGCTGCTGATGATGATGAGGATATTGATGATGATGAAGGCTTTCAACGTGTCGTTGTTCGCCGGCAAGATGGGCGACTTGGGCTTGGGATTGTTGGCGAGTCAACGGCACGCGGATATGGCGTGTACATCAGCAACGTCGCCAACACAGACGCAGCGGCGCAGGGCCTGGTGGCAGGGATGCGCATCATGACGGTCGATGGAGAGGATGTGCGGGAACTGTCACAGGGAGACGTGCTGCAGAAACTGGGAAGCAAGCGTGGGGACGAGGTTGTGCTTGGGGTGATTGGTGATGATGGCGGGTACTCGCGGTTTGTTGAGGTGGCATCCGCCCAGACATCGGGAACACCGTCCGTCTCTGATCGCGGGCGTGTGGGTGCACACGACAGCGATTTCCATCACGAACATCAGCCGCTTCCCGAGGAACGCGAGAGTGCAGCGTCGAGCAGTGACGATGACTACGAAGACGGATCACTGGCTGACAGCGGTGTACAGCGCATTGTCGTTCGCCGGCAAAATGGGCGGCTCGGGCTTGGTTTGGTTGGCGAGTCGATGGCACGCGGATATGGCGTGTACATCAGCAACGTCGCTAACACAGATGCAGCAGCACAGGGGCTGGAGGTTGGAATGCGCGTGCTGAGCGTGGATGGCCACGACACGCGGGACGCGACACAGAGCGAGGTGCTGTCGCTCGTGACGAGCAACGATCACGATGAAGTCATCTTCACCGTCATCCCAGACGACGGCGGGTTTTCTCGCTTCGGCACCCCGACGTCTCCCGTTCGCGCACCCCAGCAGCAGCAGGAGCACCAACAACAGCAGAGCGATGCTGCCGCGGCCAGGGATGGCGATACAAACGATGAAGAGGAGACAGTGCCCGATGCCCCGCCAGCGCTGGTGGAGTGCGACGTGACGAGGACGGACGGCCGGCTCGGTATTGGTCTGCTGGGTCATCCAACCCAGCAGGGTCTCGGCGTGTACCTGTGCTCTGTCACCAACCCCGTGGCCATTGCTGCGGGCATGAAGAAGGGGCTGCGGCTGGTGCAAGTCAACGACAAGGACCTGACGTCGGCAACGCAGCGCGAGGCATTCAGCATCCTCACCACAGCCACGGAGCCTGTGCACCTCGCCGCACGCGTGGACACGGACGGATATGCGCGCATTCAGGGTTTGGCAGACAACGCTGACGCCGGCACCAAGACACACGGGACCCCGCAACCCGTACCACCGTCGCTGCCGATTCGAGTCCTGAACGTGGATGTTGAGAAGGACCGCGGGCGGCTTGGTTGCGCCATTGTCGTGCATGGGCAGTCTGTGAAGAACACGTACATCAACAGCGCCCACCCGCGCCACGCGGGCCGCGTACAGCCGGGCGATTGTGTGGTTGCCGTCAACGGCGAGGTGATTGTTGGCAAGAGCCAGAACGTGGTTGTTGGCCTGATCCAGGCTGCTGGCGATGTTCTTCGCTTCACCATTGCCCGCTGCCCCAACGTGTCCCTCCCCGTGCGTGACGGCAGCTTCCAGTTTGACGTCACCGCCGCGCCCACCGCGGCCCGTGTCTCCATGCCATCTGCAGATGTGGCTGCGGTTGCCTTTGAGGACATTGGGTCTGGCGCACCGACCGTCGCCAAGGACCACACCCCGCTGCGTCGTGGCGATGTTGTTGCCGCAATTGACTCGAACATGCTCGTCGACAGCACCAGCAGCGACGTGACAGCGTTGGCGGCGCAGTCTGGTCGCGCTCGCACCACATTTACCGTCTGCCGTGTTGGCGCAGAGGTGTGTGGTTGTGTGCGTGTGAGAGAGAGTGAGTGTGTGTGTGTGTGTGCGTATGTGTGCATGTGTGAGAGAGAGTGTGTGTGTGTGTGTGTCCGTGTGTGTGTGTGTTTTTCTTTTTTTTCTGCGTCGTGTGTGTAATGTACGCTCGTTGCCTGCTCTTATGCTGCTACATCTCTGCAATTTGTTTTTCCTCATTGCTTTGCGCTGTTGTGTCTGTGGCAGGTCCCCGCCTCACCTTCCCCGAGCGCTGCGGGTCGGTCCAACACCGACGCCGCAAGTCAGCAGCAGTCGTCTCCAGCCGAGGGCGCGCAGGACAACGCCAACGATGATGATGATGGCAACAACGCCAGCACTAATGCCAACATCAACGACACCGACACCGACAGCGCAGAGCCCGATACAGCGGTGATTGTGCTGCACAAGGGCTCGCAGGGCTTTGGGTTTGTTCTCAAGGCGAAGGACAAGCCTGGCCCGCTGACGGTGGGGCGTGTGCGTGAGGGCGGTGCGGCGTCCAACGAACCGCGGCTGAAGAAGGGCGTTCGCGTCCTCAGTATCAACGGCACCGACACATCCGTCGTCACAAAGCGTGAGTGCAACAGGCGTGTAGAACACGTACTTGTGTGTGTGTGTGTGTGTGCGTGCGTGTGTGTGTGTGTGTGTGTGTCTGTGTGTGCGCGTGTGCCTGCGCTGATATGGGTTGCTTGCTCTTGGTCCTTTCAAACGCTCTTCTCAATGTTTATCACGTTCATGTGTCGTTGTTACTCCACCACTCACACTGGCCTTGCCCATCATCTTCAACTGCGCGCTTTCGATGACGACAGAGGATGCTGGGCGCCTCATCTCGCGCGCCGGCGACACGATGGAGCTCAAGATTGTGCTCGATTCATCAACTGCGTGATGTGAGGCATTCGTGTGTGGAATTGCTGCACTCATTTTGTGGACATGTGTGCAGTGCACATGAATGTGCTTTGTCCCCGTGAAGTTTTTCTATTTGTTGTTTGCACAAGGCTGTCAAGACTGTCCCTTCACAATGCCTGCTTTGTACACTTTCTCACACATTATTTCTCCTTCTTCCTGCTCCTCCACATTCTGCCCTTCATTCTGTGCCTCTGTGGCTGGCAGGTGTCAGCTGCTGTCCTCCAGAAGAGATGACAGTTTTGCTTGCAACTGCTGTGTTTCCTGTCGATGTTTCTGTTTGTGTGGCATTGCGTGGTGCGTGGAGAAGAGGGGGTGGTAACATGATGAGCACTTGATAGGCGATAGTTGCATGCTGTGCTTTCGTGCGTGGCAATCCAAGGTTTTGTGTGCTTTTGTGCAACAGGGTGCGTGTGCGACGAAGTGTCGCTGTGGTTTTGTCTCGCGTTACAACTCAGTAAATTCGGAAACCATCCGCACAACATCCACTGGGGGATGTGTGCGTCTGTGATGCAATGACACACACACACACACAACACACACACACACACACACACAACACAAACGCACGCACGCACGCATACAAAACACACGTATGTCTCACCCCTGCCGCTGCCTTGAGTTGTGCCTGCAAGCTTCGCTTTCGCTCCCTCAATGTGGCCAGTGTCGTTGCTTCCTCCACCGTTGGCTGCCGTCGGCGTGGCTGCGGTGCACTCGACTGCGCTTGTGCGGCGGCCTCAGACCCTTTGCGGGTCTCAGCATCCTCGTTGTCCTGCAATGGCGTGTGGTGCGTGATGTGATGGGATGTGTGATGTGATGTGATGTGTGACGTGGGATGTGTGCATAACGGGTGAGCACGGGAGAGCCAAATCAGATGCGTGCTGTCGTATCAACCACAAACACGCCACGCACACGACCTTTGCTGCGGCCTGCTGCTGCTTGCGGCGCTGGCGATTGGCCTGTATCCACGCGCGGTGCAGGGCGAGATTCTGTGCAAGCGAGCGCTGATGGCGCACACCCTCCAGCATGGTGTCTTTGGTGATGAGGGAAGGGCTCAGGGTCTGGATCGCCTTCTCAAGCTCGCGGATCACCTGGGCAGGAAACGATTGGGGAATTGCATTGGGGAGTTGCAAGGGTGAGGCCAGTGTGCATGGATGGGAAGATGAATGGAATAGACAGTTGGGTGGTTGGACGGATAGACAGAAACGGTGGATGACAACAAGATCTACCTGCGCTGACACACACACACACATACACACGCACACAGTATTACGACGTTGGCGGGCTGACCTGGTGCTGTTGTGACCAGAGCGCGCGATATTGCTTTGCGCGCCTGAGGGCGGCCTGTAAGTTGTGTGTGTTCTTGCAGTCGACGGCGTGCTTGTCCCTGAGCGTGAGCAGCTGCGCCTCTTCGTTCCGGCGCTGAATGAGCTCGTTCTGTATATACACACGCGCACACGCACACACGTATTCACACACACATTCATACACACACGTACGCACGCGTGAGCCGCAACTAAACACAGAATTGAAACGACGAGCACCACCAAGAAGAAGCAGCAACAGCACGTGTGTGTTGGGCGCCGACCTGAACGGACGTGAGTGTTGCTGTGAGCGCGCGCTTCTCGGCAATAAGCGCGGAATAGGTGTCTGCAGCCCTGAGATAGGACGACACCAACTCGTCGCCAGAGAGCGTGGGCATTGTGTCCATACTCAACTCAACCTGTCGGCAGAAACACAAACACACAGTGAACAGGGCACGTGGGACGTGAGCAGTGTGCTTGAATGGCTGGCACATGGTGTGTGTGTGTGTGTGTGTGTATGTGTGTATGCGTGTTTGCGTGTGCTGCATAACTTTGCAGCTGCAACGCGAACACATGCAGAGGTTGAAGCGTGACATACATCGCGCAACGACAACCACACGCACACACACACAACCAGATACTGACCTGCATGCTTGCGTTGTTCTCTGCGAGCATTTGCTTGACGCGTCTGTGCTCTCGGTCGAGATCGCCCTGCCGCTGCCGCTCAAGTTGCAGCTCCTGATCATCGCATATGCACACATGTGCACACATGTGTAAAATCACATGAGGTGTGACGGGTCAGACTCGAAGACGAACATCCATTCGCACTCACTCACTCAGGTACACACACACACACGCACATACACGCACACAGACGTACACAGACGTACACACACGCGCGCGCGCATACAACCACGGCCGCACCTCTGCAGCCTTGCGAATGGCGTGTGTGAGCGCGTCATAGGAGGACACCAGCTTGGCCACATCATCGGCAGACATGACGCCTGTGTTCTCTCGCAACATACTTGTGGGTAACCCTTCGCCAACACCAACAGTCTGCGCTTCAGCGGGCAGCTCGCCATCGTCCACATCATCGCCATCATCACCATCCCTCTTGCCCTTGATGGACATGCTTCGAACGCTGCTCTTATCATCGCGTCGTGACGCTGCAGATGGCGGGCGCTGTGCTGTTGGGCGGTCGTCGTCATCATTATCGCCATCATCGCCATCCTTGCCCTCTTTCTTCGTGTGTGTGCTCGTGCTTGAGGTCTCATTTCCTTGCTGGGTGCTCGCGCCATGCTTTGCGTTTGCTTCGGCTGCCGTGTCGCCGTCTGCAGTACCATCTGCGTTTGACTTCCCCTCCGCCACCTTTCCCTGGTGGATCGAGGCTGCCGCTGCCATCGCGTCTGTTGTCTCGTTCGCCTTGTCCTGGTCAGTGTCTTCGTGCTTGTCCGTCGGAGACGCTTGCTGCTGCTCTTCCTCAGGCTGCACACTGGAAGGTGCACCAGGCACATACACCTACCCATGTGTGTGTGTGTGTGTTGAGCTTGGTGAGCGTGATGGTTCATGCGCAAGCACCTGCTGTCACTGCCATTACAACAGCGTGATCCCAAAGCCGTTAAGAGCATATGCACGATCCTGAGTTCACGCCACAGCCCTGCACCACCACGCAGCGGGCAAGCTGGCACCTGAGCGTCGTGGCGACGGACGGTGACGCTGAAGCGGCCAACGCGGACCTCCTGTGCATTGCGACGCAGTGCGGCTCGCCAGAAGTCCTGGAAGACAACAAACTGCCTTCCCTCTGGTGGGAACTGCAGAAAGCAACAGCCATGCATCGCAGCAAGTTGTAGCGCGTGTCAGCGGCACAGCACATGAGCAGCCGTGCGAGTCGCAATGTGCGTTGGGCAAGACAGTGTGTGCAACACCACCGCCCCTCTTCGTGTTTACCTGCAGTGCGCGTTGGCTGGTTGCCATGGTGGCGCCATTGACGAGGATCGTCGTGCACAACACGGCTTTCCGCGCGGGGTCCGATACTATGAGGCAGAACAGGGCATGAGGTGCAGAGTGAGATGGGTGGAAAGCGAGAGTGAATGGACAGGTGAACAGGCGAGCAGAGGAAACGGGGGGGGGACAGGTAGATGAGTGGACAGATAAGTAGGCGGACAAGAGAGGCACGCACACACACACACACACACACACACACACACACACACACGCACACACACACACACACACGCACACACACACACACACACACACACACACACACACACACACACACACACACACACACACACACACACACACACACACACACACACACACACACACACACACACACACACACGCATGCACACCCACGCACACATGCACATTCACACACACACACACACAGGCTGCTCACCGTGGTCTGGGAGAACAAACTGTTGCTGGAGGTCCGGGCCGTCGATGCGTGGGCAGTAGCGTGGCTGACCCAGGCTGATGTCCTCCTCCGGGTTGCTGAGCTGCACATGCCCCTCCACCATGCACGCCACCACAAAGGGCAGCTGCACGTCGTTCAGCGTCACCAACAGCATCGCAACCAACAACAACAACACACACAAACAAATCGTTGAGGATGATGATGGGGAGCGATTCGAGACCAGACGAGCAGCAGCAGCAGCAGCAGCATGGAGCGAAGGAAGTGGAGGTGGAGGGGGAAGCGGGTGTTGTAGTGAGGGGCAATGAGGTTGGAAAGGGTGGGGCTGGTGGTGTGCACAGTGAAGAACAAGGGCAGCTGCCGCCAGCATCGCCAAATGAAGGAAGGCGAGACCATCCTGAGGCAACGCCGCAAGCACAGGATGCAGAGACCAGCGGCATCAACGTGCTTGACGACGATGGTGCAGAGGAGGGCTCGGGCTCGTTATCGATGCCATCATCGCCCATGTCACTACAGAGCAACACGGTGACGTCGCGCAGCGTGGTGGACAGTTGGCCAAGCGAGC